ATAAATTCTTAAAGATATTGTGGCGGTAGATCATGCCCCGGGACGGTGTGTCAGCATGTAAGATAAGTGTGGCGATAATTAATGTCATGAGTGAGGTGAAGGGTCACGGCTCGGGGCGGCGCGTTACCCTGTAGACACGCTTACACACGTAGTGGTGGGACACAGTGGCGCCGGCCGGTCGAACGCGGATCGTATTGCGTGTATGCGTCTTTGGAGGGGGTACAAGAGGTGCTGCTCAGGCGCGCATTGTGAGTCTCCCTGTCGGCGTCATGTGCTGCAGTCCACGGTTGTGCCTGAGGTAGTTTGGCCGATAGTTCTTTTAGTCATCCATACTGATATCATGCTGATTGTTTCAGCAGATGACATTTTTTCTTTTGTCAATTTTGCATCTATAATTATAAATTGGTCGTCACGTATGATGCATTTATAGAAGTCGTGACCGTGACCTTTCTTGGCAATTTGAGAGCTCAGTCGTTGGCAGTTGGGACGTGCTGCTTGTTTTATAAGAGCCGTTTTCACTCTAGCGTTTATTGGACTGACCCGAATTCACCACTTTCACTCGCTTTGCTTATAATCATTTGCATGCAATTCACAATGACTTTCCAAGGGCCAGTTAAAGTCATTACCTTGAATCATTGGCGCCTCATCACTAAATCACTTATCTCATCCGAGCAGCCCTGCCATGGCCTATAACTGCAGCTGGAATATGTGTTCAGTGCAGCTAGAGTATCCCCGTTTAGTGAGCTTGCTCAACTTTGCGCTGCATTGGCTAACAATTATGTATTGGGCATTACACTTACTGGGGGAGGAGTAAACACGGGCTTTATTGGGATTTGCAGTTTTCAGTCTTTTGGTCGTCGCACTTAGTATTCAGGCCCACGTTTATCACGGAATATGCGTTTTAAATTCCCTCTTAGAAAGAGAACACGACGCATGCCGGCGCGCCCCACTTATAAAGCACCAGAGACTCCGTTGACAATATTAGCGCCTAGGGCCATGGTGCAACCAGAATTTGAACCCAAACCTCCACGTGGGAGTCTAAAGTGCTCATCACTCGGCCATTACGCCCCCTCGCTTTGAATAACGCCCCAGCATTTATCTGCAGTGTTTTATCACACTGTTTTATGATGTGATGCCTAAAGTAACAACTACGTTACGTGGGCTGAGACCAAGCTACGTCAAACGCACGCATTTGATGGTTAATGTAACAAGGTTTATCTTAATATCTTTCCGCACATCGATATGAGGCCGATGCAGCCTGATAGCCGATGCAGGAAGTCTGCACTATCAGGCGTTGTTTGTTTCGTTCCCGATTGTAGCACGCTTAATCTTGAGATGAAAAGGTAGCGGGATTAAACACAAGGCCTAACCCACATAAGCTTATGTGAACAACCGCGTACATTCCGAAAAAGCGCCGAACGACACAAACTGTTACCTGAAAATCTGCTACCTGGTAAGAAGGGCCCACATCAGCTGAACTTAAGCAGATGTGCAGTTGTAAAAGGGCTACACAGCTTTTTGAGTTCATCCGCTTCCGCGATGTGTACTTCAATGTCGGCAGAAAACTGAGGCGGTGCAATCACGGCTAATAAGAAAACTAGTAATGGACAACATCATTTATAGGTAGCGCTGGCGCGTTTTTACCTAAAAGCAACCCAATAAACTCAAATGATCTAAGAACTACTTTTGTTGCATGCGGGCTTTGCATGAACTGCCAGTTAGTGAGCACCCATTGGCATGGCTGGTGATTATCAGCAGCTATGGCGGCTTATCAGCACATTCTGCCATGATTGTCCCCAGTTATGGGAGCACTGACAAACGTGAGACACCAGCTGTCTCACGTTCACGTCTCACGCCTGGTTCGCAAGCTGGTGGCGACCAAGGCTGAGTGGTGATGGCAGGCCGTCGATGGCAGGCAATCAGTGAAATAAGTCAGTATTAGTTGGCAGTAATAGCACCACAAAGTGTTGTTGACTGAAATGTGGTGGTGGAACAGGAAGAGGAGAGATAAAATCTATATTTGTCGTGCTGCTGCAGCTGTTCATCTGTCCAGAGGACAACCTAAAAATCGAGAAAAGGTAACCCAATCTTCTCTTTGAAAAGTACGAATTAGTTACGAAAGACATTGCGGACCATTATTTCACCATGGTCGTTCTTGCGCGGCCGCGTGGTGTTACTCGCAGTGGCCAACGCCGTTCGGTTTTCTGGAAACCACAACCCGACGACCGCTGTCCTTGCTCCCGAGATTTCGGGCACGCAGGCTCAAGCCTTTTGATGCAATTTGTTTCACTAATCGATTGTGCAAAAGAATGAAAGTTGTCCGGAAACACTGGATGGCCTTGTTCGGTTTAAAGAGAATGTTTCACATTTGAAGACACTGAAGGTCTGTATACTTTTTAAGTAGAAAAGACTGCTCTAGACAGCCCAATTCTCTGTTTAGTCCACATGCTCCCCGATGCGTCATGGTTTGATTGCGTGGTCGTACTTTGCGCAACATTAACTGAGAGCCAATTGACTGCCGTTATATCTGAGAATCGCGTTCACCAAGGCCAGATATGAACGCCTCGACAGTTGTATTTTTCTTGGCCTTGATTGCCGCACGGCTTATGGAATGGCAGGATTTGAACGACGTTATTGTGACGTCATGAATACCAAGGTGCCTTTGAAATACTTTTCCCGATGTGCCTTCCCCGCATTTTCGCGGGAGTATAGCTCAGAAACCAGAGGGGCTTAGTTCTTAAGAAGAGCAAGATTGTGAACAGCATCGAACGGTCTTTAAGATGGTTATTTCAGTTCAAAACCTCATACTAATGCGGAACACTACTTTCAACTTACTTCGACCCACCCTGTTCAACACTAATGAGACCTCTTGTTTCCTTCCACGCAAGGGGCCTATTCAGTAGAACAATAGGGGGGGGGGGGCACACTTTTGTTCTCGGTCGGAGCTGAATGGCCATTTAGTTCCACCGCGGGTTGCCTTCCAGCTGCCATTCTGGCGACACGGGGCGGGATCCCCTTGTCTATCCGGAGACCCTTAAAAGGATACATCATATCCCATATGTCCCATCCTGACGTGGGAGGCCTTCTGACCAGCGTAGTTGGCCCCGAATCGGCGTAAGAACCTCATTGACATAACGACATCCCTGCTCGTCGCAGGCGGCCCAGTAATTGGCGCATAGACTCCAGCTCGGCTGAACGGGCCCGTGCTGGACTTGGGTTGGAGAGCCCGTCGTTCAACACTGGGAGCCCTGATTGACACAGGACTCTTTCAGTGTCTCGATTTGAACACTCATCATAGATCATGTTTCCTTTCATTGTCAGAGGACCCCAATCAGCGTAAGAAGTCCCTGTCATTCGGGGTCCCGCTCACGTCACTTCTGAGCAAATGTTCCCCTGGCTGATTCGAGACTCCTCGTTGAGACGGAACACCCTGCTACACAATGTGTGCCCCTAACTGATACAGAATACCCGCATGATTGCAGAGGCGCTGACCAATGCAAATCGCAGGCCCGGTTTCGTCTCTGCTTTGGAAATGGGCCCCAAGAGCTTAGACGGACACTGAGCCAACTGTTTGGTGTTCGTGATCTCTGGCCGAAATGGAGGAACGTTTGTCTCAGGAGTTCCCAATTGGTGCAAGAGGCCCTCTGCCCTATGGGCTGCGGCCCTTAATGTGACCTACAGTCGTCCCTTCCGGCCATTCAGCCTCCCGATCGGACCCTTGATCTTTGGTCCCGAGGGCCCTCGGGTCTCCCTTTGGACTTTCTCATACAAAGGCAGTGACCGATTCGGGGCCACTAACCGACACATGATCCCCTGTTAGGCACTGTGAACCCCTGACCAACACAGGGGCCCAACCATTGTTTTGGGGACCCAAACCAATATAATACGTGGCCCCGGCCCTGCTTTCGCGAGGGAAGTGGGCCCCTAGAGTTCAGACTGACAGGAAGCCAACTGCTCGGTGTTCGCGATCTCTGGCCGACCGAGACACCGACATTGTTACAGGGGATCCTCAAACGCTGCAAGAGAAGCTCTGGCTGATATTTCAAGTCACGACCCTACGGGCTGCGATTCTTTATATGACCCGGTCCTTGGAACCCTTATGGCCTCCAACCACGCCCTCGATCGTCGGTTCCACCGGGCCACCCGGGCCCTCTTTGGACCTCATCGTTCACTGCCCTCGGTCGGTTTGGGGCTCGTTGCCAACACGGACCCCCCTGTAAGGCACTGCGGGCCCCTAACAGATACAGGCGTTTCGGCAAGTGTAAATCGCTGGTCCCGGCTTTGTAGATGATTAGGAAGTGGGTCTTCAGGCCCGTACCGACATGGAGCTGTGTGGTTTTGGTGGTGCCTGACCGACACATAGGCCCATATCGACTCAAGAGTTCCCAGATCGGTGCAAACAGCCCTCTGTCATTTGAGGGCCCATCCCAGAGCACACCGGGGCCCCTGAATAAGACCCGACCAACTCTTCGTGTCCTCAAGCCCTCCAATCGGGCTCTTAATCGGCGGCCCCGGTGGCCCTCCAGGCTCCTTTCGAACCTCTTCGAACAGTGCCTCCTGCCGACTCGGGCCTCTTGCCAGCACAGGGCCCCTCAGGCGCTGTGGGGGCCCTGATAGACGTTGAGGTCCCGACCAATGCAAATCGCCGGCTCCTGCTTTGTTCCTGCTTGGGGATTCGTCCCTCGAGCCACCGATATGGAGCCGACTGCGCGTTATTGGTGATCTATCGCCGACACGTGGGAGGAGGGGGTACGTGCTCCTATCACTATGATATTTTCCCCACGTCGTCGACTGCATTTCGAGAAAACTGGAACAACTGATCAAATCGTATAGTCTGATGTAATATAAAAAAGATTGTAATATGAAGAAGATATTACGAAAAGGTGGAATACTCCCTTTAAAACGTGCTGGGAGAGAGAAAACAAACCGGAAAATCAAGAACTGTCATGACGTTTTGCTGCATTGGTTCCAAATCGGACAAGGCGATTAGAATCGGACTAATATGAAAATTGACGCATCTAAGGCGATATATGGTGCGATTGCGCGGCCTTGCCTTCCCCATGGTTTTCCTGCGGTAGATCGCTTTGCGCTCATTTAAGCAGGTAAAGGCGGCCTTAGCTCGTGTTAACGCGGTTTGCGCTGAAGTGTGAGATGATATATTAGACTTGGGGTCTTCCGGCTAAGGTAAGGAATTTGGAGTTCTTCACAGCCCTTAAAATATTAAGAAACTTGTACTTAAAGTGCTGACTTACGGCATATAAAGCGCCGCACGCAACGAAGCTGATCAGCTCGCTTTAGCAGAACCGCCCAACTTTGAAATCATGCAACCCAAACGACGTCATTGGCACCGCAAATCATGAGGGGAACAATTATCATTATTTCGTGCTTTGGGCCATTGCTGCACGTTATGCTGGTATGATAGGTTCTGCATCATTTTCACAAAATTACCATAAAACAGTGCTATAATTGTGACATTGAGGTGGTTCACTGGTGTGTCATGGGACTTTGCTTAATGAATTTCTCTTCAAATTGTGCATGCACTTTTGCCAGAGAACAATGCCATTAAAGAACCAACAATATTTTTTGGATGCAACCAAGAGGGGCCTGGGAACTTTTCCCCCATTGGGTTCACAGTTTTCTATTTAGCACCATATTTGGCTCCAGACAGAAGGTCAATAATCAATATGGCAAGCTACCATCTAGCTTGAGTGCTGGAATGTTACTTACAGACTGCAACAAATATAACTGCAATACTGCAAACAGTAAACACCAGTCTCATCATGTCCAGCATAGCAGTGACATGTAGCAGTGGCACCCAATGAAAAATTTAAGCATGTGTATACTTGTCAAATCCAAGTGCTCGGTGTTTGGCACACAGTTGCCACCAATGTTATGACATGGAGAGCTGATGTTTCAAGGAATTTGGACATTGTGAGGGTAATTCCAGGCAAATGATATGAAACATGCAATTTGGCCTGACCTGGACAAATGCATGGGAGCATGAGGTTCATCCAGCACAGTGGATGGATTTTTTTCTGCAGACTGGGCTGGAGGCAGCCAGTTTGGCAATATTCACCCACTTTGGTGAAGTGAGTCAACATTTCTGTATGCTGTCACATTTTTGACCTCTTATGGCATAAATTATTCATAACACATGGCTTTTGCAAGCTGCCTGTCAGGCTGTCAGCATAAAGGTAAAACTGTGAACAGTGCATCTGCATTAACTATTCAGAAACAATGATAAAAGCCCAAACTACCAGCATTCATGCATACATCACAGGGGTTGCACAGTCAAACTAATCATGTGCACCACAAGGGCTTTCTTTATTTTCATATTCATTAAGTTGACCACTTGGTTGGCTATCAATATTTGTTATGCTATGGTATGCCAGCTTCAGGTTCACCACCTGTTGCCACACCTTTCTCAATATTAATCCAATCACCATCAAACTTGACATTGGTAAACCCAGCATCACAGTCCCTGGGGCTTAGCAAAGTGGTCTCATTGGTCAGATGTCAAGTGACTATGGGGTAGCAGCTAACAAACTGTGTGTGTGTGTGGAGGCTGTCAGACATAATTTTGATAGCATGATTTCATATGTACCTCTTGCACATCATGCCAGATGAAGTTTGGAATGAGCTTGCCTGTTCATTGAGCAGTTGTCAATCTTACTTTGAAACAATGTCATCTGTTGTCATGAAATTTGGGTGGTAGTTTGAGGCATGTGTTAGCTCTGGAAATGGATCATTCCAGTTGACCACGGCATTATGTGTTGTGTTGCATTGTTGATAAGACAAGCCTCAACCTTAGAATGTGCTCCTTGTTCTTTTCGCCCAACATGTGCCAATGAGCATTGAGCAGGCTTAGGCCAACCCAGCATTTAGGTGCCCCTGGCTTGAAAAATCAACAGGGTAGGTTAAATGGCTGGGTTTTTGGGCCAAGGGAAACATCTTTGCAGTCATTGGAATGTGATGTGTTTGGATGCTACTAAGAGGCAAGAATTTGGGAAGTATCAGCTTATATTTGTGCCCTGCACATACATCTGGATGAATTATAGAATTCTGGACCCCATTGAGGATTTGGTTTCCTGATTGCTTAATAATAAAGTGTGATAGAGCTGGATGCTGTTCTAATTAGGTTATTTCATGGATCATTGGTGTCTCAGTTTTGTGCTTCTGTTGCCAGTTGATGAAACTGAGAAATATGATATTGCAGTCCCTAGAGTAAAGTGAAAAGCTGTGAAGTCACAAATCATGGAAAACTACTGACTGATATTCATCAAGGTAAGGAATATGCTGCAACCCCCAGAGTGTAGTGATGGCAACCACAGATGCAGCACCCACAGGATGCATGAAACATGATCACAATCCCTAACAATGTGTTTGTTCCCATATTGTTACATGTGGCATGCAGCCGACATAATTCAATGCAGCTCTTGTTTTTGCAGGAGGAATTATTCAGCAAGAAGCATCCAAAACATTTTGTTGTGTGACCCAGCAACATGAGTTCTGCAAGCAAGGTACTGCATGATATTGTTGACTTATACTCAGCCTTTTCACATGCTTAACCAAACTGTGTATTTGTTTTTTTAGCATGAATGTGCTATGCATAATTACAGTTCATCAGTGTGCCCAGTCACGGGTCTCCCCCACCCTTTCCTGATATTGCACGTGTCTTCTTCATTAAGGTGTAATTATTTCAAAGCAGCAACTGCCTTCTATGTAAGGCATTATTTAACACAATTGCAGACATTGATTGATTGAACCCTGCAACAAGCATGCGAACCGACATGTAAACGCCACACAACAAACACTATTCAAGCCAAATGCCCACTCATCACATTGTCCGCCACTAAGGAAAGGGAAGATCACATGACGCGACTAAAAGCGTCTGCGCACTGCGTGACACGTGACGCAGTACGTCATCAGCCGGCACTTGGGCAGGGACATAAGTCCAAGCGATCCGTGACCAGTTTCCATTATGCATGGCACAGGTCTAGTCTTTCGGGCACGAGCCGATCAGCGTGTTGGCTTGTCACAGGGAAGGTCCTTATCACTTGCTGCAGAGTCCGACGACTCAGACGACGGCGAATGGTTCGGCTCGGGGGAGGAGGGGTAGGCGTCCCGGACGGGACCTCGCAGACGGGCTCTGCAGGATTCATACCAGCGGGCCCGCGTCCGACCCTGCCCCCACCTCGGCCTTCCCTGGGCGGTAGCTGGCGCCCAGTCTTTGCCGCAGTAGACCGTCGTCCGTCAGGATAAGGCACCTGAGCATAGGAAGGTGTCGCGCTGACCAGCGCTACGGGCGCCGCGAGAGTATCGGATAGAGAGTATCTTACTCACATTCCCGGACGAGTTTCCGCAACACTGCTAATTCAGTGGAGGCCAGCCAGGTTAGGAAAGAGTAGCCATCGGCCAACTCGCGACGGATGAAAACCGCCTTGCATGAGGGGTTTCGTTGGCGGTAGTGGTGCAAAGCAGTGATCTGATGAGCGACCACCCGGTCCGAGACTGCTTCTCGCTGTGTATTTGGCAGCCTCTGAAAGCCAAAGCTTAGAGCACTCCGCTCCAGGTGGTACCATTCATCCTCGCAGATAAATCTACCATAACGAGGAGGTACTGTCCTCGAGACGGCGAGGCCTCAGGTTCCGCGCAAAGTCCGCAGATATCCTCTCAAAATGACGAATGGCATGGACTAGTCGAGCATCAGGATGTGTAGCATTACAATGGGGTGCGTGCATGCAACACGGTACAATTTTGCAAAATTTTCAAAACTTTCTTCAGGGGCCTTTGTGCCTTGCTGCAACAATGTCAGTGATTTTCCAGTTCGTCCAGACTTCCTTTGGCCGCAAAATGACTTTGTAACATTCTACAGTTTGCACACAAATTAAACACTGAGGAGTTGAAGTTTCCTAAAACGGGTTATAACATTTCTTCGATACTTTAGGTTGTTTACTTGTGTTCATGTACTCGATTTTGGCGCTGTCCTTAAACGGAATTCTCCACATTTGAAGATATTGAAGCAAGCATCGGATATGACAGAACAAACTGACTCATAGCTATCGGTGTACTTTAAAATAGAAAATACTGTTCTGGAAAACGCAGTTTCTCTATTTAGTAAATACTGTGACTGACTGCAATGTATTCAGAAAGTAGTAGACCGTCGAACTAGACACTCATTCTGCAACGCGTGCCAAGGCCTCATTAGCTGGCAACTAGCCATACACAGCATACAGCCTTGGGAGCTAGCTTAAGGGCATGCAGCATGCAGCAACGAGAGCGTCCACGACCGCATGCACCAAGCAACCACCATGCAAGTCAATACCGCATGCGACACCCACAGTACATGCACAATCACCAAGGTATGCACATGCAACACGCCACAACACGCTCCTCAACACGTCATTGTTTGATTACGTCATGAAACATTTGTATAGCCTTGACGTACTGCCTAACTAGTCGTGTGAATTGTCCACTTCCTTGTAGTACTACAAACTCGGCGAGACAGGACATTATGGGCTGGAAGTGTCGCTAAGCCAAATGTTGTTGTGTGTTCGTTTTTTAGCATTTTCTCATGATGTTCTTGCATATTTGAATTTGGGATGTTTACTTATGTTTACACCCTCGTTATGGTGTTTTCCTCAAGCTATTCTATTACAACCACTAGTTATGTAACAACTAGCAAGCGAAGAAACCATGCCCAACTTCTTACATGATGTAGCACAAAACGTGCTTCATGGTTGAAGTTTGCACAGCTTGCAACATCGTTAACATTGTTTGAGAGCCGACTAACGTCCTCTTTATTTGGAAATCGCGCTCACAGATCTGACCACACACCAGATCTGAATGCCTCAAGGGTGATTTACATCCTGGCCTTACACGCCGTCTGGCCTGTTGGGTGGCAGGATCTAATGGTGTTACTATGGCTTCATGCATGCCCGAATGGCCTGTAAATTGTCTGTAAGAAAAATGCTGCACATCTTAACTTGCGTGTACCTCAGAAACCAAAACGTTCTAGTTCTGGAGAGGGATAACACTTTTAATGGTCTTGTGACTACTTCAGGCCATTTGACGTAAGCAGGTTCCCCTGTAATCGGAAATCTGGACCGGGCACTTTGTGCCATGCAAACCATGTGAGCACAGAAATGCCACTGGGTATTGCTTGCGCGGTCCCAACATAAAATCATGGCAGCTGTTCTGTCAGCATGATGACGAACTCACGATTCTGCGAGTCGCGAGAGTTTTTTATGGGGTGTTGCATTTCGATTCAGGCTATGGCCTCATTATGAAAGCGCGGTCTTGCTTGAGTGTGGTGGCTTACTGCCTCGCACCATTTCTGTCTTGCCGCAGGTTGGTGAGATTTTCTGCGATGCTGGCAAAGCTTTCAACAAGCTTGGGACTCTTACCATACAACTTCAGCAAGCATCCCAGCAGGCTCCTAACAGGTACTGGACGCGGACTCGAGGGCTGTGTGGTTTCTAGGTTGAATTTTCCTTAGCTCCGTGTAGTGTAGAGTTTTTTTAATGTTCTTGTATATCATGGCCGGGTTATTGTATTTACGGATGCAAGACTCGAGGGTTAATCGCTTGCAGGATAGGGTCTGCCCCCCACCCCACGCCGAAGTGTTGCCTACGTAGACCGTGCGCAAAAACATCGCGAAACTTCGTTCGATAATTATAGAGCGGTCATCGCGACGTTTTGTTAAAAAAAAACATCGCAAAACTTCGTGGTTTTTCGTCATCAGTGTGCTCTCGTTCGTCCCGTCGCAGTTCATATGCAAGTGATTAGCTTAAAATGAATGTTAATGATGAGCTTAAACACCAGCCGGCACACACGTCATTGGTGAGGTACGCCAGGCACGAATAATTCGATGATCACATTTTTCTTAAGCTTGAGCACTTCCACATGGCTATTGAGTGGGCGGCATTCGCGTGATGTTTCCACGGCATCGTTCACTGCCAGTGTTCTTTGAAATGATTTGCATGAAATATTCTGCGCAAGTTCGCGGGTGTCAAGCTCAGAAACAAGAGTATTTTCGGCCTTAAAAGAGGCATGGTTGTGAACTGCACTGAATGTCCTCCAAAATGTCTGTCAGTCGAACACCCCACACAGTTGTCGAACACTCCCTTTAAGAATGCTGCGAATAAAGGATTAGTACCACTGATGAAATACCTCCCATCTCCTTGTACAAAACGGAAGATGTCAGCATCATGAGGGTGCGCGGTGACGGCTTTTTGCATATTATGCATGTTTCTGAAAACAAATATTTTGCTCAGCTGGGGTTAAAAAACAATGTGTTTTAAAATTTCACATGAAATAAAATATCACAAAAAAGTAATAAAAAAAACACGACGCAGGCGGGTGAGTTATTCTCAGTTTGTGCGCTTCCGTTTTCAGATATTTCTGTTCGTTGGCGGTCTTTCGCAACCATATGCCCTTTTGAGCACGACATTATTGCGATGTACGTTGCCAAAGCCCGCCTGCGCTGGGCGGTAATATGCTGTGGCTTCCCATTGACGTCCCTTAGGCTACAACTCGTGGTACTTTCCTTCTTGTCATGAAAAGGTTCGACCTGCGTGAAGTGAGCTTGCGCTGCTTGCGTAAAAACATAATGAATCCTTCCTTGGTCGGTGCCAGTCGTTTACCTGCTATGCACAGCTCAAGCGTTCTAGTGATGCATATGCCGGTGCAGGCAGGCTAAAAAGAAATTGCAAGTTTTCTCACGGTTGCGCACTTGCAGTGGTCAGGATATGAATGCGTTGACACGGCTACTCTGGCCAATTACCGGCTACGCACGCAATCGAACCAACTACTGAACTTCCGCGACCGCCGGATGCGCCCTAAAACCCCAAATCATCATCATCATCATCGTCCGCGACCGCCGCGGGAACCAAACGAGGGGGTGGAGCGTGTAATGGCCGAATGGTTACAGCTTAGAGCGTCGAGAGCGCTGGGCTCCCACGTGGGGGGCCAGGGTTCGATTCCGGTTGCGGCATGGCCCCTGAACGGCAATATGCACACGTCAGTCGCTGGCGCTGCTCAAAAATGGTTCGCGACGCGCGTCGTCACGCTTAGGAGTCATGGCACGGCCGGAATTCGAACCCGGACTCCCGCGTGAGAGCCCGTGCGATATGAGCGTTCAGGGGCCATGGCGCAACCGGGATTCGAACCCGGGGACCCAAACTGACCGGTCGCAGGCCAAAGGTCAGACAGGGCAGACCTTAGCACTAACTTCAGGGCGTACGTCACGATAGCCTGGATCCACAAGCAACTTCATCGTCGGGCTGCTATCATCGCAAGTAAAAGGAAAGCAAACTTCACATTCGTTTAATGTCACCGAACTCTCATAAAATTCGCACTTGGTCTGAAACCTTCGCGGCCAAAATATCATCCGGTGTGCGGCTTGACGCCGTCCGAAGGCGGACCGTGTGCTCGGGACGCACCCGGGGTCACGACGCGGAACAAGCTGCCGCCGGGGCTTTCAACGTGATGGTCGTGTGCAACACCCGCCGCCGCGCGGGATTGCGCAACCCCGCGCGATATCCATGGTGACAGCATGGAATTGTCGGCCGGGTGGGCTGAGCCTGTTCAGTGGGGCAGGCAGAACTGCCTAAGATATCAGGTGGTGGGTGGGCGCTAGTTTGCTTGCAGCGCTGAGTGGGTGCCCCTGGGGAAAGTCACGATCTATCTGCTGTCCATCATTTGGCCATCGTTTTGGGTCCCGCGCTGAATGCCGAGCTGGCGTTATTGGGTTCAGGACGTCACTGTTGATCAATGATCGACATGTGACCCAGTTTGCTATCCTTTAGCGACCGTTATCTGCAAAATGGTTCCGGCGTTCATAAATCGAAAGCTTCGAGGGCCAAGGGTCCATGTTTCTGTCTCAGTAGCCAATTAGATACAGCCACGGACCACCAACCTTCCAGGCGACGAGGAACGGTCCCCTATCCCCACCTCCATCGCCCACCCTCCCGAGAGCGGTAGAAACTGCCCCCTCCCCACCCCACCCCCACCCCACCCCCATCTTCAGCACCCACCCTCCCGGGAGCGGTGGTTGTCCTTTCGACCATGGGCCGAGAAATTACGTGGCAGGGACAAAGCTCGTGGTGTTAAAGTGATTGGGTCTGCCAAGAAGTTCGTTTTGAGTTATGTGCCTAGAAACCTTCAGCGTGCTTACTTCCGTGAGTCAGTTTAGTCATCCACGCATCAGTCTGTAGATATATCAGTGGACTTAATGTGCCAATTGCTGTCACGTTCCGCTTAGTCAAGTTCCGCTTACTTCGCGGGGAAGGGACATATGAACGGGCTGACCCTGTCATAAGTGGCGTTGGTTCATCAGTCATCGTTCATCAGTTGAGGCTGCCTTTCCGCGTTAAGCTGTATCGGTACGATACAATAATTCTTCGAAATTTTGACCATGACCATCTAACGGTATTTTCTACAGACGTCTGCTAGCACAGCGTTATCAGATGCTTTGCTGCTGCCATTGTTACGGGCTTTTGGCCAATAGCGGCACGGCCGGATACTAAGTCAAGCAAGAGAATGTTTAGGTGTTTGTACTTTTATGGGCTTGCAAAATGTATTTTGCACTTGAGGATTTTCTGTTAATCGTTGGAAGATGAGTTGATAGACTTGTAATCGACGTATTTTCTATGAAATTACTGAAGCCTTTCGGGGGCAGCTGCGTAAAAATTCATCGAGATGTGACGCGTACCCCGGGCCGTGACGATGTCGGACCTCTATGCTGTCCTGCTCCTGTTGTGTCGATAAAAGCACGGCTGGCGTGGATCGGAAATGCGTGATTGTGTTGGGAGCCTGACCGGCTCCAGCGAAAGGCATCTTAAAGCGTCTAGCCCGTATGCCGAAGCCAGCTGAGCTATTGTCTGGGATGTACGCACTCCACGGTCATTTAAGATAATCTGTGACGTAGTCTTACCGTGGTTCCTTGGTGCTAATAGTCGATCATACTCAAGTGAAAATAGATCTTTATGCATGAAATGTGTTCGCACGTTACATTATAAACACTCCCGGAGTGTCACCGTTTTGCTTGTCGCCATTAGCCCAGTGTGACTCTATGCGGATTATTACTGAGTCGAATATGTGATTAATGAGCGCTGTTTTCCCGCGCCCCATCTGGTCCCATCTCAGTCAGCGCTCCATCTCCTAACCGTTCTGTCAGTTAGAGTGGCGCTCGGTGACGCTGGCTGCGTTCCGCCGCTGCTGTTGGTCGAGGAGACTTTCGGCGACGCCTTCCCCCGTCCGCCCCTTCCGCCCCCGCAGTGAACGCCGGTCCGGCCAGCCGGCGGTGGGACGAATGTGCGCGTGACAAAGTGCCTTCATGACGCGGGGCGCGCCGGCTCTGTGCCGCAGCGGCAAGTGGCGCGAGGAGGAGATCGAGATGCTGCACGGCGCCGTCCGGCGGTTCGCCAGCGACCTGCAGAAGATCAGCGACACCATGAAGTCTCGCAGCGTGTGAGTGCCCGGGGGGGGGGGGGGGGCGGGCGACCGAGGGCGGCTGTGACTCGGGGTGAATCAGACCTGCTGCGAACCGACGGCCGGACGGGGAGGACGGGGCGACCGAGGGCGGCAGTGACTCGGGGTGGATCAGACCTGCTGCGAACCGACGGCCGGACGGGGAGGACGGGGCGACCGAGGGCGGCTGTGACGCGGAGTGGATCAGACCTGCTGCGAACCGACGGCCGGACGGGGAGGACGGGGCGACCGAGGGCGGCTGTGACTCGGGGTGGATCAGACCTGCTGCGAACCGACGGCCGGACGGGGAGGACGGGGCGACCGAGGGCGGCTGTGACGCGGAGTGGATCAGACCTGCTGCGAACCGACGGCCGGACGGGGAGGACGGGGTGGCCGAAGGCGGCAGTGACTCGGGGTGGATCAGACCTGCTGCGAACCGACGGCCGGACGGGGAGGACGGGGCGACCGAGGGCGGCAGTGACTCGGGGTGGATCAGACCTGCTGCGAACCGACGGCCGGACGGGGAGGACGGGGCGACCGAGGGCGGCAGTGAGTCGGGGTGGATCAGACCTGCTGCAAACGGACTACATCTATCATTCGGACGGCCAAACCCGAGCGTCATTTGCCGGGCCCGGTGAAATATGGTTTTCGATACCGTAAGATTGTATTTCGACCAGTGGGACCGTTTCGTTCCGTGTCGTGTGGAAGCTTCTCCGCCGGCCGCCGGGATACCATTAGTGGTAGTGCCAACCTCGACGTCACTTGCGGTCTGCGGCGTCAGGCGGGCCGCTGAGCCCCGACACGTGATCAATGCCGGACCCGGGGCTTTCGGGAATCGTCTCAACTAAGTCGATTAGGTCACATATGAGTCGCATTCAGTATCGAAGTCATCCATTTAAAAAGACTGGATGTTCGCTCGTAACCAAATGAACTTGATTCAACTCCGACTCAAAATATTTGGAATTCGGAAATCTTTGACCTAGTCAAAATGAATCGATACTCAACTGGATTAAAAACAGCCTAAAAAGAACTCAACGCCTTAGCCAATATGATTCGTGCAATTCGGCGGTCACCTAAGTCACAACTTGCGGATAAACCAAACGAATGACTTTGTAACAAGACACATGATCTTGAAAAAGTGTCTGGTCTGGGAACCGCCCCCTAAAACAGACTGCTTGTTGTGGAAACTGTAGGTGCTGAATTGGCTTGGTTTGGTATGCATTGGACATGTCGGGTCATGTTGGGCTTTTCTACTCCGGTTAGTTTAGGTTAGCCTTTGGCGTTTCTGCAGATCATGCTGAGTAAGGTTGTAACTCATGATCACATTTATATCTGTCAATCTCTGTCCGTAACATCCCACATATCCCTCCCGGCGATATTTACCCTGGACGTTCCCGTAACGTAGTAAGAGGCGCGAACGTGCCCGAGTTCAATTCTTGGTTCTGCCGTGGCCCCGGGGCGCTAATATGACGACCGAAGTCGCTGCCGTTCCATAAGATGGTTCGTTGTGAGGCGCGCCATGTGACTCGGACTCCAGGCCCTGAAACTTGGTCTCGGACTCAGTGAAACCAAATGGACTCGGACTTGGACTCGATTTCGAGATCGTAGGATGCGAAACACGGTACTATTCAGATTACGGATCCTCCCTCAAGGTGCCATAACTCAGATTCGTTCGTCGGTGGCACTGAAAGCCAGCGGCGCAAACAGCCTTCAAAAGCTGTTATGTTGGTGTCGGTCTTGAGGGCACGGCCCCAAGCCCATTCACAGACTGCAACACGTTTCCGGACGCAAATGACGACGGCGGTGGAGCTGGCGACGTTAAGTGACCCGGAGAAAAGCCACACCACCGCCCAGATGGCGCCCTGCCCGCAATCAGGGCTGCCCCATCACATACAGTCGTGATAAGGCGCGGCGCACCAGCGACGTCGGCCCCAGAACCGCGGCGGGTCGCGGCTCGGAGCGCGTATCATTTCGTGTTTATGTGTGTGCAGTGTCGAACTCCCAGGCCGCGAGTGAAATGCCGGTCGACAGATTGCTTTTTTCCCAGCTCTACGTTTAACGGAACTCCGGCGTCCCGACGTTTGACGTTTGTTTGTCGATGCCGGTTGTTGTGCCGGGCAATGCCGCGCCACGTCCCGCCCGGCTGAGCTGCCGCCTGAGCCCCGTGTACAGGGCGTGCCGAATGTTGCGCCCCTTGTGTGACCCACACCCAGCGCTGGCGGATGACGGAAGCCCTCGGAGCTGTGACAGCCTGACCAGTCAGCACCGAACCCGTTCAACCCATCACTGGACCCGTTCCTTTAACCGGACCCTTTCAACCCATCACCGGACCCTTTCAACCCATCACCGGACCCGCTGATCACCCGGCGCCTGGCGTACTCTCGGCCTTATGCGGCTTGCCCGTCACCCTTCCTGGCCATCGTCTGGCCGTTCTCTCACCTGCCCTTCCACCAGTTGAACGAAGCTGACCGGACATGACCTGGTCGGTCCTGGCCCTCCCCGCAGGAGCCAGATTCGGAACGCGCTGAAGAAGAAGGCGTTCGACGAGGCGGGCATGCAGGCCCAGGCGAGCGCCGGCGCCGCCAAGCTCTCCGCCAAGTCGGACGTGACGCTCAACATGCTGAATGCCGCCGAGTCGGAGGTCGACGTCGAGGAGATGGGCCACTTCGACGGCCCGAGCGAGGAGGTCTCGTCCTGAGGAGGCCGGCGCAGATGGACTGGCGCGCTGCTGGCGGGGCTGGACCGGTCGGGGCGGCGCTGTACGGACCCGGCGCCGCGCAGTCGCTGGGGCGGTCTGAGGGAGCCGCGAAACCGATCGGGGGTGTGGGAACGCACGGTCGACAGCGCCGTCAGCTTGGGGGGCTGGGGAGGTGTTTCATCGTGTTCATCTCAGCCATTGTGTGTTAGGTCTTGTCGGGCGCTCAGTCTATGACTTCGGGCGGACGGAGGCTGCTTTGATATGTCCTGTGCATGGTATCACTCATCAGCGTCATCGAAGGCGGTTTGACATTTTTTAGCTAAGTAAACTTATATGTATTTGGACAATACACTGTTTCGCCTTCATGGTTAGTTTGGTGCGCTCTCTGTTTCGTCTCTCGCGTTGCGCTGAAGGTCGGTGTGGAACGCCGGTTAAAGGGCTCAACCATAGCCGGGTTTGTCAGCGCTCTTATGCAAGACGCTCACCTTGCCGGCCGACCAATTTCGAACACCACTCGCTTCCTGTCCGGCTTCACGGAATACTGAACGCGGCTAATGCCGTCGACGAAGTGTCAGTCAGGTCTTAAAACGAACTGACAGAGCATAAGCCGCTTTCTCGAGCTAAGGCCCTCCGCAGCTTGGCGTTTCGCGAGGGATCGCTCACTCCGTCCAAAGCGTCTACTTTTCCTTTCCTGACTAGGCCCCCACCAGGTGGTACGCATGTGACGCCGTAAGATCCGTCAGTTTTAAAAACAAGTTAAAATGCGCTGACGATAAACCCGAACACCCCATATTGCCATCTGAAGTCAAGACATGTCTGTACTGTTTAGAAATAGCCGTCAGCGTTGTGCTGCGAACTAATGCACAGCGCATTCCCGGAGAAAGCATTAAGTTGATGAACCATGCCAGCTAGTGAGCCCGGATGTCTTCATCGACGCCGGCGATTGACGAATTTTTGGTGACAGCAGCCCAGTCTGTTCTACATGATCGGAGTGCTGCGACGCTTCGCAACAATGGCGAGAGCCGACCTCTCAAAAGAACAGTTGGGAAAGAGGGGGAAGGTCTCCCGGTCAATCTCAGTCGGGTTCTTGTCCCCTTCCGCGAACGGTATGCAAGAGTGCGGGAGTAGCCAAACAAGTTGGCACGGAAGGGGCGGACTTTGCAAGTGACACGCAAGCGGCAAGCGACATATTCGCAGGCTCCGAATTATGTGTTGGTCATGTTCCAAAAGCATACAGGGAAATTTACGTTACTGGTGCGGATGCTTATGCCAACTGGAAACTCAACGTTTGCACACTTCTGGCTTGATGGGCGAAAATGTGTGGGATTTCGGGGCGTCCACACTTTCCCGAGACAAACATCCGCGTCCGTGAATCCTCGCATCCTCTCAAGCGTTGACGGCGTGCACGGCGTTTGACGTGCACTTCCTGGCTACATCTCCAGACACGCGCTGCACCCCCGTCCGCCGGCGGCGAACCCGGCGCCAGCGCCAGCTCGCATTCCCCGGTGGCTGAGTGGCTGGCACCGGCCGCGACCGGCGCCGACGGGCCAGCCCGGCTGGGGGCTCCGAACCCCACGGGAGCGAACGGGGACCAGGGCTAGGAGGCTCGCCGGTTCCCTGATATGCCCGATGGTTCTGCGTCAGGCTCGAGTTCCGTCCGTTCCATTTCCCAGCAAGGGGAGAGCGGCGCCCCGATCCCGGCGCCACTGAGCGGGCCGGCAGGATCGCACGGCCCTCCGCGGTGTCTCGCTTGATATGACTGGAAAGTTGGCTGCTGTTAAGTGGGCGGTCTAGGGGAATGCTGTCCACTCCTGCCGACACTCGTTCGTGCACCAATTCTCTTTCACAAAGAGCATTAGGTTTGTAATAAAAGAGCACTTAATTGTCCCGCCATGTATTCCATAAACAACGTTACAGAACACCTTCACATACATCACCAGGTAAAACACGTTGCGTCGTTATCCGTACATGTCCTAAAGGAGCGTGAAACGCTACAGGTAAATGGAAATGCCGGTTAGTGAGACCATTAAACAGCTTGAAATCATCCGGACGCAAAAGCAGCTCGGGCACGCCTTTCGTTCTCCTGGCAGGCAGTCCCGCTTGTTGACCTACGAGCAATTTCTCGGAGAATGCAGCCCAAACAATGCTTTTAGCCCCCAGCAGCCCTGCCCGTTACACGCAGACTGCATGCGCGGACAGATAACGCACAGGCCCTTCAGACGCAGATCAGCGCAGTCGGGCGGCGCGCGTCCTGGCCGTGCGGCCCAGATGCGTGGCCAGGTTTTTGCCATTGGGGAGCAAGGGTTTGGCAGGCGTCACCCTGCCAGGGAGAGAACTTCACCTCTGGCCCCTTGATTTTGATTTTCTAGTCGGATTTAGCCCATTCTATGTTACACGGGACCTTATTTCAGGCCATCTAGAGCCTCGCGGCCAGTGCAGAGGCCCGTGTCAAACCTGCTAAAAACGTAGAAAGCTTATTCCTCACTACCGCATTTCAATTTCTCAAGAGAAGTGTTCGCGGATAGAAACTCAGGCGCTCGGACCGCCCGCCCTTTTGACGGTCCAGGAAGCCACCAACTCTGAAAGGGACGGAGTAGCCGCCCTTTCGCTCCCTGCCCCAGGTGCGCCCTTGAGGCGGCCGGATCCTGACAGACTGCTGCGTCTTATGCTGGCGTCTGGCGTGCGGCGCTCCTATCCGCCACGCCACCGACAACGCATTATCGTCGTCCTGTTCCGGCTGATGCTCTAAGCCGCGGCTCGTCAGGGCAACCAGATCCGCACGGAGTCCATTCTCCAGCCCAGTATTACGGTTCAGCCGCTGTCAACTGATCAGGTAAGAAACCCAGCTAATCAGAGACGGCGCCGTGTCTGTCCAGCTTACACGACGGCGAGCAAATGGACGCAGGGACAGCGTGAATGACAGAGCCAAATTGCTGCTAATGCTGGGAAGTCACCAACTGACATGATGGCAACGCAGCTTAGCTTAAGTATGTGACATCGATAACGACGGAGAGATAGCGGCCGAGCACTGACCGGGGTCCCCACACTGCCGTCTCAGCAAATACGCAAATGCTCATCACACGGCCGACAAGACTACGATCGCGAACCGCTGCGTTCCTCATCAGCACTGCTCACTGCCGTGTCGACTGGAAGGGACAGGGAATCCATCCTGTATTCCTTTTGTCTTGAGGCTGACCTCAGTCCATCTGCAGTAGGAAGCGGTTGCGACAGGAGGCGTTCGACCCTGGTCCTCCCCACCAGACGTACTCGAATCAGCTTCCAATATCCAATCCGCTCTGACCCAGTTTCTCTGATTCACGTCCATTGGGATGCCTGGGAGGCTGATGCCCGTAAACGCCACGTTAGACCCCCGTTGACAGTCTCGGCCTCCGACAAAACGCCGCCATAAACCCACATCTCGCTCACTTCCCCCTCCCCTCTCTCCGCCCTCTCCGTCGCCCCATGTGTGTGTGTCTCTCTCTCTCAGACGTCTGATTTTGACAGCCTGGTCGAAAGATAGCGTCAAGTGTGCCTGACGCGGCGTAGCCTGAGCTCCTGTGGGTTGGAGCCGAGTCGGCGGCGAGGCGGTGGCGCGGCCAGCGTCTAGCGGCGCAGCCTCAGTCCGGCCACCTGGTCCTGGAGCAGCTGGCACCTGGTCTTGGAGCGGCTGGGCCTAGTGGCGCAGCCTCAGGCCGGCCACCTGGTCCTGGAGCGGCTGGGTCTAGTGGCGCAGCCTCAGGCCGGCCACCTGGTCCTGGAGCGGCTGGGCCTAGTGGCGCAGCCTCAGGCCGGCCACCTGGCCCTGGAGCAGCTGGCACCTGGTCTTGGAGCGGCTGGGCCTAGTGGCGCAGCCTCAGGCCGGCCACCTGGTCCTGGAGCGGCTGGGTCTAGTGGCGCAGCCTCAGGCCGGCCACCTGGTCCTGGAGCGGCTGGCTCTAGTGGCGCAGCCTCAGGCCGGCCACCTGGTCCTGGAGCGGCTGGGCCTAGTGGCGCAGCCTCAGGCCGGCCACCTGGTCCTGGAGCGGCTGGGCCTAGTGGCGCAGCCTCAGGCCGGCCACCTGGTCCTGGAGCGGCTGGGTCTCGGTGGGACCCAGGTCCTCGGCCAGGTCCAGGCTGTCGCTGCGGAACGTCTCCAGCTGCTCCGTGCTGGCCACGTGCTGCAGCGGCCGCTGGGCATTCGGCTGCCGGATACACATCGGCATGTCACCTGTCGCCTGTCACGCCGGGATGCCGGACACACACCGGTATGTCACCTGTCGCCTGTCACGCCGGGATGCCGGACACACACCGGTATGTCACCTGTCGCCTGTCACGCCGGGATGCCGGACACACACCGGTATGTCACCTGTCGTATGTCACGCCGGGATGCCGGACACACACCGGTATGTCACCTGTCGTATGTCACGCCGGGATGCCGGACACACACCGGTATGTCACCTGTCGCCTGTCACGCCGGGATGCCGGACACACACCGGTATGTCACCTGTCGCCTGTCACGCCGGGATGCCGGACACACACCGGTATGTCACCTGTCGTATGTCACGCCGGGATGCCGGACACACACCGGTATGTCACCTGTCGCCTGTCACGCCGGGATGCCGGACACACCAGTACGTTACCAGCGGTATGTCACGCTGGGATGCCGGACACACATGGCTATGTCACCTGTCGTCTGTCACGCCGGGATGCCGGACACACACCGGTATGTCACCTGTCGTCTGTCACGCCGGGATGCCGGACACACCAGTACGTTACCAGCGGTATGTCACGCTGGGATGCCGGACACACACCGGTATGTCAGCTGTCGTCTGTCACGCTGGGATGGCAGATACGCACACCGGCATGTCACCTGTCGTATGTCACGCCGGGATGCTGGACACACACCGGTATGTCAGCTGTCGTCTGTCACGCTGGAATGCCGGACGCCCAACGGTGTGTCACCTGTCGTCCGTCACGCCTACTCTGGACACGGACTGGTGCCTGGCGTCCGTCACGCGCACACTGGACACTGCCCGACATGTGACGTCACGCGGCTGTCATGCTGACACCGCACATTGGGCAGCATGTCACCTACCATCGGTCAGACTAGGCTATCGGTCACGGACCAGCGCGGCGGCGCAGGAAATGAGTTGGATGATGTTATCGCAACAAGCGGGTGCCACGGTCCCTCATGATGAGCATTGCAAGCAAGAGTAAAGTATGCCATACTTTGGAAACGTTCCTTTACACCTGCAGACAGAGCCGCCTCGGCGCCCTGTCATCACCTGTTTGAGGCCCACTGGGGAGTGGACGCTGTGCGCGAGCGGCAGGCGCGATTTCGTGTCAGGTCGAGTACGCACGCCAGGGTCAACATTGGGGTGCGTTC